TTATCTACAAATCTTTTGCCCCTTAGCCTATGTAGCCATGGGTACTGAAGCTATCATGCAGAAGGAGACTGCATGATAGCTTCCTAGAGAGGTCCCATTTTTATGGGGTTTTCCTAGGATGTTTATTATTTTTTATTTATTAAATTTGTTGGCTGCCCATCTTACCACAGGATAACACTGGATGGCTATGAGTCTCACATGGCTCAGCAAAACTGTAGCACAAGCATGGCTCAGAACGAACAAAGACTTGTAACAGAAATCAAGGATAATAAAAAAGTTCCTTCCAACATATTAACAAGAAAAAAGTCAAGGAAACTGTAGGTCCACTAAAGAAAGAAGATGGCAAGGAAATAACAGGCAACCGGGAGAAAGCAGAACTGCTTAACTCATACTTTGCATCAGTCTTCACACAAAAAGAAACTATAGCCCAACATACCAAAAAAACCACTGCAAAAGACAAACTAGAAACAAAAATTTAAATAAGCAAAAAAATGGTAAGAGAACACCTATCCGACCTTGACGAATATAAATCACTGGGACCCGACAGATTACATCCCAGAGTTCTGAAGGAGCTGGCAGATGTTATCTCAGAACCATTGCACCACATCTTTCATAAATCCTGAAGCACCGGGGAAGTACCTGAGGATTGGGAAAGGGCTGGTGTGGTTTCCAAGAAAGGGAAAAAAATGAAACCAGGAAACTACAGACCAATCAGTTTAACATCAATACCTGGGAAGATCCTAGAAAAGATAATTAAAAAACAGATCTGCGAACAACTAGAAGCAAACAAAATTATAACTAGTAGCCAGCACGGGTTTATTAAAAACAGATCGTGCCAAACCAATCTTATTTCATTTTTTGATAAAGTGACTAAACTAGTAGATCAGTGAAATGCTGTGGATGGAGTATACTTAGATTTCAGTAAGGCATTTGATAAAGTAGACCACAAGCTACTCCTTGGTAAGCTAGAAAAAGATGCACTAGACAACAAACAAGATCTGTAGCTGGCTGGCAAACCATACTCAACGAGTAATCCTCAACGGCACTACATCCACATGGAGAGAAGTAAGCAGTGGGGTACCATAAGGTTCCGTCTTAGGCCCAGTACTCTTCAATATCTTCATCAATGACTTAGATGAGGGAATTGAAGGGGAACTCATCAAATTTGCAGATGACACCAAACTGGCAGGAGTAGCCAACATCCCAGAAGACAAACTCAGGATCCAAAAAGATCTTGACAAACTTGAACAATGGGCCCTATCCAACAAAATGAGTTTCATTGTGGAGAAAAGCAAAGTCTTAGATTGAGGCAGGAAAAATCAAAGGTAAAAGTACAGATTAGGCAAGGCCTGGTTTAAAAACAGTAACTGTGAGAAGGATCTTGGAGTCCTGGTGGGCGATCACTTGACTATGAGCCAGCAGTGTGCAGCAGCAGCCAAAAAAGCTAATACAATCCTGGGTTGTACAAACAGAGGCATAGAATCAAGATCACGCGAAGTATTAGTACCGCTTTATAAAACCCTAGTAAGACCACACCTGGAATACTGCAACCAATTTTGGTCACCATACTACAAAAAAGATGTTGAGAGTTTGGAAAAAAATTCAGAGAAGAGCAACTAAGATGATTAAAGGCAGTGGTGGAATTCAAATATGTGAACAACTGGTTCTCTGTGTCGATGCCGCTTCCGGAAGTCCATTCTGGGCCTGGGCAACAAAAAATTAGCTACCGGTTCTGCCAAACTGGTGCAAACCAGCTGAATCCCACCACTGATTAAAGGCCTGGAGACTAAAACATACGAAGAATGGTTGCAGGACTTGGGTTTGGCTAGTCTAAAGAAAAGAAGAAATAGGGGAGAAATGATAGCAGTATTTCAGTATTTAAGGGGATGCCACAAAGAGGGGGTCACATTATTCACCAAAGCACCAGAGGGCAAGACAAGAAATAATTGCTGGAAACTGATCAGAGAGAAGCACCCTGGAATTAAGGAGAAACTTCCTGACAGTGAGGACAATTAACCAGTGGAACAGCTTGCCTCCAGAAATTGTGGGCACTCCATCACTGGAGATTTTTAAGAAGAGGCTAGACAGTCACTTGTCTGAGATGGTATATAGGTCCTCCTGCTTGAGCAGGGGGCTGGACTAGAAGACCTCCAAGGTCCCATTCTATTCTATTCTATTCTATTCTATTCTATTCTATTCTATTCATGCTTTTTTGACAGTGGTCTTTGGAGTCTGCCTTCATGTGCCAGGGTCAGTTTCCATTATGTCATGATGCTATAACACATAAGGATAATGCAATCCAAAGGGCAGATCATCTGAGTTCTACCATATGCTCAGAATTGGTGGGTGGATGGGAAGTACCTTCAGAGATTGTTCCTCCAGTGCCATTGGATCCTGGCTGCAAGGAGGTTTTCCATTGTTGCATTGTGAATTTTTACTTGAATTAAAGAAAAATAAGAAATATAAAAAGAAAGAAAAAGTGCAGGAAACAATAAAGGAAAAGCAAACAAAGAAAATTAAAGGAGTGACTTCTGACTTCATTACAGCAGTTACCTTCAAAATTATTGTCTCTCCTCTCTCTTACACATAACAATAATCAATTCATCTCCTTATTCAATACTTTTCCAATTGCCCAGTTTAAAAACCATTATCTTAGCTCTTTCCATTTTCAGCAAAATGTCCATAAAGTGTTCTATATTCCACAAAAGTACTTATTGTCTTCTATTTTGGGTACCTCAATATATTTCCATTTTTTACATATAAAGTTAAATTTCTGCACAATGAAAAAGCACCATGCTAGAATAGTGAAAAACAGTTTATAGGATTTTGTATCATTTTTTTTACATTTCCCCAAGGAAATCCAACTCATTAGTGTAGCCCCAGAATATTATCCAGCCTAATATTTCACTTTGTAATCACTAATCCAGCGTTTCTCAACCTCAAGAACTTTAAAATGTCTGGACTTCCAGAATTGCCCTGCCAGCTTGGGAAAATTTAGCCTGGGAGCTAAAGTCCACATATCTTAAAGTTACTGAGGCTGAGAAACACTGTCCTAGTGGAAAAGAGTACTCAACGAAGGCAGCCAAGCTATTGCTAAAATTTAATGTCTTCATTTCCATCTGATATATGAGTTTGAAGACTGATTTATTGATTTCAAAAAATAGTTTCAATACTCCAAACATTTTGAGCATCTTGAAGAACTTTTTTCTTCCTAGCATTTTCATGCAAATCCATTTTTTTTAGGTTCAATTGAGTGTTGATCCATTTGGTTGTAACAGGAATTGACTGGCTTGTTGCCTGAGCCTGACATCATGGGCTGAAAGAGAGTGACTGGCCCAAAGTCATCCAGCTGGCTTTCATCTAAGACAAGATTGGAATTCACAATCTCTTAGTTTCTGGCCTAAACTGGAAAAATCACTTTTTGTTAACATTTTTGCCTAAGCATGTGGAGATCAGAGTCAATGCTAGCTAGCATTATTGACAGATGCTACTGAAATTAATCCTTGATGCACTCTGATGGCAATTTCCTCTTTAAGAAATGTGTAAATAACAAGGGTGCAGATCCAAATAACTCTTTACTGTTTTAAACTGTTGTCCAGGAGTCCATCTGAAATAATCTCAACAGCTGTTAGTATGCATGTATTAACTCAAAGGCAGGGCTAGTTCTAGAAAAAAAGATCCATGGGAATGAAAACACAATCATGTTGGCTGTTCTTTTAAAATATTTTAAATCAGCTGCTTGAGGTGCCATCTTGCAGTTCCTCACGAGTAGAGAAACAAGCTCGTGTCACTTCCTGCCTTAATAAAGCAGATAACACAGCCTCTTATTGACATGATGGAGGAAGCCTGGACAATCACCTCATTCTCTTCCTCCAATAAAAATTCTC